ATTTGTGGAGAGTCGGAATAAACATCACACTAGCAGGCGAGTCGATCCACGAAAGGAACCCACGATTGCAAGGATAACAGACAGGCAAAAATCATCTCCACTTCCTGTGATTCAAATTTGACATTTAAGAGTAAACCTGGTAAGAGTGGTCGTTTTTTAAGCTGTTTATAAGCCGCACAAGGGAAACGCTTTCAAAAGTGAGGTGTTTCGTCTGAACTAAGGGAAGGATTTTTCTTTCGATTTCTCTTAGTGCGGCAAAGACTGGATAGGGTGAAGTCGTGAAGAACCTCCGGTATAAAGCATTCGCAGTGATAGAGGCTACGACATGGGTTTATTATCGAGGGAATTTTGGACACCCGATTAACCTTGGCCATCTGTGCAAACTGAACTGAAATAACCACTGAAATTTATTCAGTGGACCGAATCTGCGGAAGGAACCTTGTGTGGTTAACAAACAAAGCAAAATTTTTTTATCGTTAACTTCGTCTTAATTAACTGACAGATTGTTTCTTATTGTGTAGGATTTTACGTGCCGAATACAATACCAATATCCCAAAGTGTCGGTATTGAGGTCCCGGAACTCTAACAACGTAGTTATCTTTCTTTGCGAGCTTTCCGTTAACCTAAGCGATCTTCCGGAAGCTTAGGAGTCCTCAAAACAAGCTTATGATCAGCTGCCTCCATTTAAGTTCTTCGCAGCGTAAACAACACACATCTGAATGATGCATTTCAACTGAAGCAGAACCGAAGGATAGAAAACACATTCATTCCAGATTTTTTCACAGAAGCACAAATAAGTCTTCCGGGATACCACAACAGTCAGCTCAGCTGTCTACCCAGGGACTGTTAAGAGAGCATTATTGAGTCATTGTCAAATCAAGGCATTGTTATATATAACACTCAAATGCACATAAAAATTGGAAAGGAATCAGTTCAGTTTGAGGCACAAGATGTAAACGGCAGCTTATCAGGTATTCCAATATTTTGCACTGGTGAGCATCACTACGGAGACAATAGGATGAAAGGATTCATCTTCAAACGGATACACGTGGTAGCACACCTAGAAGAGTACCCCCAGCAACAGTATCCCAATCCGAGGGATCAGTGTTGCTCACTGGCTCCTTCGATGGAACAGTTATATAAATACATCAATGCCCCTGAAGATGAAGAGTAGGCCTAGAAAGAACAGTTTAGGGATAAGAGTAGAAACGAAGAGATAAAGAGTAGAAGCCCTATCGGAATGAGGAGAAAGGGAGAGAAACAGATTTCAACAGCTTAACAGGCTAACGCTTTGATGAACAAACTATCCCATATCTGATCCAAACGGTGCTTAGGGTCAGCCAACGAGGTCGCATAAAGCTTCAAATATTAGTTGCACCAATACGTTTATTACATTCACACCGGGCATCGCTCACTGCATAAAATAACGAGACCAATTGAATTTAAAATATATTTCGAAGACCACATTCGTTCACTTTAATCGAAGAAATTTACCCGATGAATCTGCCTCAGTCTGTACAATTTAACTCCAAATAGTCTTCCAGCCGCTGAAATAATCAATTTGCAATACTTTGTCGTTGTTCATGTAAATGGGACACCTACAAATATTTCTCCCCTTTTTCCGTACAATTTTCATTTTCGCCGTTCAATGAGGTACAATAAAGGAATGTTGCTAACCGCAACTACGTGAACGATGAAAACGAAGAAAACATGTAAGTGGCGGATTAGTATTTTAGGGAAAAAAGTTAACCTCGATGGTAAAAGCTGAAACTAAACTGAGAATAAATGACAAAAAAGCAACTTATCATTTGCCGTTGTCTGAAACGAATCGGCTAAATGGTCTTATAGATACCCACCCGGAAGATGAGAGACCAGCTGCCGCTTCACCCTGTGCAGCATTTCAAACTCGTCTGCATATCTTCTGTTGATCTCCAAGTGGTTTCATCACCCCGAACAAGCAATAATACACAGGTTACGATGCGGTGGGCCACTGCAATGAGTTGATCAACCGGTGAAATCTAATCACTACAATTCGTTTTGAAAATAAAACACTTAAATGCACTCCATCATCTTCATTCATGTGTTGCTTGTCCCATCCAAATTAAGTAAGCATTGAAGATCAAAACCTTCAGTTAACAAATGACTGTTACATTCGCAGAACCGACTACTTTGTAATACAATGAGAAAGACAGAAGCTTCGATGAAATATCAGGTCGGCTGTAAGTGTAGGTTCAGTGTGCGCAATTTAAACCCTGGATATGCTTGCGATCACTTCTTTGACCAAGCTACCTCTATAAGCAATATAAATACCCCGGGNCCCCGGGGGGGGGGGAGGCAACCGATTGCACTGAAATAAACATCGTAGCATCACTTTTCGTACATATATTCAAATTTTTATTATGGGCGAATTACAATACTGATGCTTATTGAATCCCATGGGAACTGTACACACTGAGTTCGGTTGGTAGTACAATTGCATAGCAAATTCTGGCGTTCACTCACGGGTACTGGAAAGTTAGGTGGTTCAATGCTTCATCCAGTCGTGACTTGAATGAGTCGATGGTTGGTGCACAAACAATTTAAGGTGGAAGAGAGTTCCAGGTGTTACAAACTCTGAGGTTGAAAGAATCACACTTGCAGTCTAGCAATCTCTTTTGGAGCAGACGTCCTCGGAGGTGACCAGTCCTGGATAGTGTCCGTAGAGTACTACACGGGTGGTTGGGTTGATGTAGTATTTGAAAAACGAGGATCGTGTCTACCCGTATTCAGACGAATAGAGTCCGAGAATCCGTAGCCTTTCACTTTATATATGTATAAGCATGAAACCATCTTACAACCCATGCACATTGGATAAAATAATTTTAAGAGAAATAGAAGATTCCTTATTGTGCCGCTTGGGATAAAATTGAATAGTATTCAGGAGTCACGTATTTTCAGAACAAATTTTGGTCTTAGACAAGCTGCTTAGTTTACTCCCCATTATTATCTGAACCGAAAGGTTCATGTGCTTCAAAGTCATTCCCCTGCGAAAAGGCTAACCAAATAGGGCTTCATAATCGACTGCAACAGGTGCCCAACTAGATACCAAGAAAACTATAACTGATGCAACACGAAACAACAATCTCTTCAACTGCGGTTTTAATCCGGCCTATTCTCATAGACATCTCAATCTCCTAAGCGTTAGACAGTTGAGTGTCATGAAAGCTAATACTAGCAAGGATAGAAACCAAACTTACCCAGAGCTAGTTTAGGTGATCATGCACCTCCGAAAGCCTTAGTATGGTCGGGGGTGGGTGTCTAGGGTTGCGGCCGGTCACCCTTCCCTTGCGCCTCACGAAATGCTCCCATACGACCAGGCGTCTCAAACAGCCTCTGCTGAGGAAGCCCTACTAACTGCCTTCTCGCGGCGGAAGTGTTTTCCCACCAAAGTGAGAGAACAGAAAGCGGAGATCCGGGTTGGTGGACCACTGGTAAATCACCTAGGAGAGTTAGCCAAAAACCCTGATGCCAAACCAACTATGAGGAGTACGAACCACACACCTCGCGGCTTGTGGCAGCGGTCACCGGCTCGATTGGACACCTTGGACGTTTGACCCGATGAACTGGACACCGGCTGCCAATGGGCTGCGGCTTTCATACCGCCGCGCTGTCTTGCGGGTCAGGCTTTAGCTAGCCGAAGGCTACGGTGGTGAATTCCTTAAGAAAATTCACCTGCCTTAGCCTAAGCAACCTGGCAGTATTCAGCCCACACGCAACTCATGGAACGTTTCTTTTTTATAAAGATTCTTGTACTATGATTTGCTTGGCACACAGTCTGTCCTCAGATAAGTGTGAAATATATATACATATATATATTCTTTGAAAACAGTAACGATAAATGACACGCAATGAAGATGAAATATGCCCTTGAGCTAGATTTTGGGAACAACGAATAAATTTGACGCGGTATTCACTAGTACTTCGGATCTTGAAAAAATTGCCAGGAGGAAAGTCCATGAAATTTAGCTGCCCTTCTTCTCTTCAGCTTTGGAAATAGACTGACGCATAAATTGTGATCTGGGCCTTAAATCTGCTCAGGACTGTCGCAACCGTCTTCTCAATGCCAGTGAAGCTTCCCTTATGTCCATTTCTCTTGAACCTGCATCTTTTCTCCCTTCACTGAATTTCAACTGGAACATTATCCGTTCCACAGATTTATGCAATCTATTAGGATTTTCCCCATCTGCTTCTCTTTTATGGTCACCATATATTTATCTACTTGTCTCCGGTGCTGCGCGCAAAATGGGCTTTCTCTTCCGTGCCACATGTTCCTTCTCCTCTCGCTTTTCCGTGCACTTGAATCCTGCAGTCATATATATAGATATACATATATACGGATCATAGGATTTACCCCTTTTATTGTATCCACTTACGTGTAACACAAAAGCCGTTTTGTCGGAGATGGGAGTGAAAGCCGGAACTATGCGGTCAATTCAGTTTCACGAATCATGTTAAAGTCAGACCACTTCAACTGCCTGTTCAAGTCACTGCTTCTTATAACAGATGACCCGTTTCTTAACCCTCAGTCTCTCAACAACGTGTTGACCCATGATCATATGAAACGCCCTCACTTTTGACCAAAATATAGAAACAACTGTTCACAATATTACATTTCTATTTCATATTGGCTCAAACTAACATCACATATTAAGTTAATATGAAAGGTGTTAACCGGCTTCCTTTGGTGGCTCAAGACTGAGGGTGTCAACATCTAACACATCTGACCACCGTTTTAGTTGTGCAAAGGACACAAAATGTATGCTCCGCTCACAACAAGAACGAAGCAGGTGTCCAGTGCTTTTTGTCAACTACCACACAATACCCGTTCTTTCATTCGGCCTTCCCTCATATTTCAGATCATGTCTAAACGAGTTTCTACCACAAAACGGAGTAAGAGCTCCAAAACAAAGAAGGACCCAGCTGAAGAAGCTCTGGAACGATCCAGACATGAGCTACGAGAAATGCGACAGGAGCTCAGCCGCACCCTATTTGTTGTGAACACAGCAACACACCGAGGTCGATGCGATCGGAAAGACAAGATTAAATCAGCAAGGATACTGGAGGATTTTCGGCAGAATACACAAGAACAAACGTCTTATATGGTTACACAGCACGAGATGATTGTGTCCAATTTAAGCGAGAAAATCGACCGGCTAGAAGAGCAGTTGACAAGGCTTAATGAAGTGGTTCAGCAAAAAGATGAGACATTGGAAAAATTAAAAAATGAGTATTCGGAAACATTATCCGACAGAGACACAACCATTGATCGATTGCGCAAACAGCTGAGCACCGAGGGAGCACAGTATCAGGATACGATGATTCAAGCATTCAACCGTATAACCAATACCTTAGGAGATGACTACCTGAAGTTTCACGAAAACTTCCATCAATGGTCCGAAGACACGATGAAAAATATTGAGCTCGAATTCTTAAACCCACCGTTTCTCGATGAAGAATCTACCGTGTACTATTAGATTTTTTCATATCAATTCATAATTTCATACACAATCATTGTTTATCCCTTTCAAGACCACCTGCACCAATCAACCAAGTTCGTTCATTACTGTATCCCATGTTTTTACCAAATTACTACTGAGAACGTCTACTAAACTTGAATATTTAAGACATCGTTTTCTTGTTAAGTTGAGAAGCACCATTGTACTTGTGCATACTTCCGAGAAATAAACAGGTCAGTTTAAAAGAATCGATTGAAGAAAGCCCGGTGAAAAGTGGGTGCCAGTTCCAGTGCACTGTTGTTCAAGGGGACGGATGGGATATCATTTAGGTCAGGAGGCGGTGTAACAGAGGCCAGCCAAACCCACCAGACATTTCTGATTGGTATTTCCAGAAAAAAGCATCATCAAGAAAAATGTGATAAGGGAAGAAATGACTGATGGGAGAGTACAATTTTAAGAGAATAATTTTGCTTTTTCAAGATCCTGACACCTCGGCAATGGTAAAAAGTTGCGAGCAACTGCTTTCGCAACGGGAGAATATAAGCATCTACGGAAAGGATGAAATATCTATGTCACCTCAGGCTTCCCAATAACTGTTGCACGGTTCTCTTGTTTAAGAACTGGATCTAGGGATAAAGGTTTCTTGCATGTGTGAGTAAATTATTTGAGAACACTCTGGTTGTATAGAACTGGAGAAATAACGGACAAGTATGTTTGTAGAATGTACCGAAATTGCACAAATTTCGGAGATTAAGATGAAGGTCAAAATTAATTCAAATCAGAACGGAAGCCGAAAATGCGCGATCAGTCAGCAGAATCATAGCACCTAGAAAGATCGACAGGTGTGAGGGTAAAAAATCTAGTGCACAGATGGAATGAAGAAAGGCGTGAGTGGTGCGCATCGTCAGATAAAAACGGTACAGGGTATATGATCACGATGATCAGGACCCCCAGTAAAGAAGCGCACTACATGGGATAAGTTGTCATTAGTAGCAAAGGCTCCTGTTTTTCAGTTCTGAGAGGTGATGCTGTATGAGAGAAGGCTTTGTGCACATTGAAATTTCCGTTGAGGTTGATGTTATCGGTGCTATCATTCTCCATGATGTATTGTGGTCTTAATCAAGCAGTCAAAAAGGAACTAATCTATGTTGTTAGTAATGGTTATAGTATGAGTTCAATTTCAAGCCGTACGAGCTGAAACTCACGGCAGATACTGAAAGTGTGAAGGCGTGAGATAGTCAGGAATTTACGGACAAAAACACCCGCTATAAAAGAAAAGGGTCGGAGAAGATTACTGAGAACCTGGAGATGGGTCATGCCTGTGAATATTTATAATTGTTTTGACATAATTAACGTAAAATGGGGAGAAAGAAATTATACTGGAGGCACCGAATCTTAGTGAATATAATTTGGGTGCAGGTTCACCACTTGTTCATGCTTCACGTGTGATCGGCGAAAACGTGTAACCCAACCGGAGGGTGGTGTGGTGAAGCGCCTAAGGTTTTTAGACAAGAAGACCATATGAATGATAAGAGGAGGTGCATACCAATAATCAATTATTTCGCATTAATACCTTGAATCGTTCCCGATACTCAGTGTTTTACAAAACGTTTGCCAATTACAAAGTTTGATATCCCCAGTTTTAACTCTACAATTAATTGCCAATCGTGTTGTCGATGTCGATGGATAAGCGGTACGTAACGATAAGAGATTCCAATCACAATGCACTAAACGGCCATAAACCACGTCCGTTGGTGGAAACATGAGAAATTTGTATGGATTCTCATTTTCCTGCAATATTATATGTTAACACCAATCGCGACCGGCTTCTGCTTAAGAAAATGAACCTGCCTAAAGTTGAACAAAAAAAACAGTGAGTTCCCATTAGCAGCTCATCAAAACCGGGATGAAATAAAACGGGCTTTTACATCTCGTACGAAAGACAAGGTCGAGCGTAAAATGAAATCTGGCCAGATGATACGGATGACTTAGGTACTTCCACGATGCCACTTCATCTGACTGGGATAATCTGCGTCAACAAACAGGTGGGAAGAAAGAACCACATTGAGTGATGTAGAAGAAATTGGCATTCATTACAAAAATTGTTACCTGTCGAACAGATTTACATGATTCATCGGGTTTTGGTGGGTAGAAGAGACAACCAATTTAAAAATGGATATAGGATTAAGAAAATGATAAATGTAACACAAACTGAGTTCACACTGTGAACTGGTTTCGTTGGCCAAGCCATCCCAAACAGCAGAACGAGAAGCTCATCAACAGATGGATTGGCTAATGCACCTGAAGATCAACTCCACTGAAAGTGATGCTGTAGTCGTTCACTTTGTTGCGTACCTGAAATGGAGTTAGGAGCAGGGTAGGGAATGTGAATTGAAGAGAAGTGGCTGTCTAGTGTCAAAAGTATAAATTGTAAATGATATATTCCCATGTACAAGCGTATAGGATTTATTCTCTTTTATGAATATATGACTAAGCTGTTGACAAAGTACTGAAAATTGGTTCTCATAACTCGCGTGAACTGAATTCAATTTCCCATGTCTGCCGAGCTTCGCAGTTTGTTCGCTTCGCAAGCACTGACGATGTCACTTCGACTGGTGATGAAACGTTTGCAAACGAATTGTGAGGCTTGGCGAGCAGGGACAAATGAAAGAACTATGCTCTCCATTTTGAGAAAAGACAACTCAGAAAAATTTCCAGACTATACACGAAGAAGTGCAGCACATGCTGAAGGACTGGGACTGAAGGTGCCATGATACTTAGATAAGATCAGTAGCCAGTAAAACGACATAACCGTTAGAACAAAATACAACTCAGTCTCTTCAGATGAACTGGTTCGGAAATAATGGAGTATTTTCCCCTTACCATTTCAGAATGCATAATGTACCCCAATGCCCAAATCAAGCATTGACAGCACACCTGGAAGTCCTTAGGTTAGTTTATGAGCGTCGTCACGGATGATTCAAAATGAGAGTCCTCTAAGACCTCCAGACGAGATGGATGTAAATTGTTTGTTCGTCCGTTTAGTTTTTCACTCTCAATGAAGCGAAAACCCCAGCGACATGGAAAGACGGCCCCATGGTCATGACTCGTTTCAAAACATTCCAATCCGATAAGATGCGCCACACAATTATGCATTAGCAGGGGAGGGGCGTTGAAAGACGTATCGCCTCCAAGCTGGCAGACTGCCGTACCCTTGGATCATCCTCAATCGCATTACTCAACCAACTTCTACCAGTTGAGGCACTCATCAGCTGCAACACTACGATAAAACTCTCGATAGGCGAGTTCGATCGGGATGAGGGCAACCGAGGATTAAAAACCTCAGCGAGACGGTGCACGAAATGAGACGACAGCTGGTACTGAGTGGGTGAACGAGACTTAATGCAAGGTCCAACGGCCACAAAGGAGATTCGTCAAATAAACAAGGATTCATGGACCCATGAGTAGAGTCAACACCAAACGAATGAGCACCGAAGACACCGGGAAACAAACAACAACACACCACTACTTTGTATTTCGCACGCAGCTGTATAAATGGTAGAGAGGTGCCTTCGAAATAAAAAAGCACTAACACCGGGGATGTCCTCTGTAAGAAAACGTCACAAAACTTCCTGATCAATTTGAAACCGAGTTATCCTCCCCAAGGAGGCGTCTGGAGCAAACTAAAGTAAGTTTAACATGGCAGAAAGGTGTTTTATTGGTACCTCAGCAACAGGAAAAAGCAGACCACTTGTTGACAGCCTTGTTCCTTGTAATGGTAAAATTAAACTATTCCGCTTACTTGATTCATATGATGAAACCACGACGTAAAAAAGGCCTGTACCCAAGATTACATTAAATCAACTACCGATGACAGATGAGCCAAGATAAATTATAATCGTGAACAAAATATATTTGCTGGAAAACTTTTTAGAAGAAAAATACCCATTAATGGAGTGCCGATTCACTGCACTATTGGCAAGATCAGCTAGAAACGGACAAGACAAATACGTTCTAAGAGACCTGTTAAGGAAAATGAACGCTCAATGACCACATAATTCACCCATATAGTGGAAATCACTCGCACTGTGTGCATTTAAACATACTGGGACCATAGATACAAGAACGTACCATAAGCAAGTTGAATCACTCGGACAGGTGAAACGCAATAGTAGTGTTAGGAGTACACTGCTTAAACCGCTCTTACAATTCTTCACGTGTTTTCATTTAAGTTTATTTATTGGAAAAACTTGGGGGAATTTTATTTCTTACCGACTTGCGGCTAGGAATCGTAAAATATCCATGAGATTTATGCAAAAAATCCACTAGTTAAAGCATATTGGTCCTGAAGTGTCGGCAGTTTTGAGAATATAAGGTTTAAAAATAAAACAGCTTTAGAGTTACTCGATTAAAAACACCGAAACATGCTAATCCACCGAGCCACGAACAAAAGTGGTTAGAAGTAGCTAAAGCTGGTTGAATTTAGAAAATGTTGTTTTCTGTCGTGAGAATTATATGTGAGCGCAATGATCAATAGGTAAACAAATAGGTGTGTCC